AACAAAACCATTATACCCTGATTTCCCATTTTCAATGGGTTCAGGGTATAATAAAATAACTAAATTAAGGAAATAGCTATGCAATAAAATTTTTTGATTAAATTTAGCCGATTCCGAAGCTAAATTATATAGTATTAAATGTATGGAATATACTTCAAACTAATGTGTTATTTGGCAAATTTTGCTGAATACTTTCTATGCTATTCCGGAAAATTAATTAAATTATTTTCTGCTTATTTAATTGCAGTGCAGTAAATGAAGTCTGTCAGAAATTGGTTTGTATGCAACGAAACATGATGATTTATGTCATAGGCAGAAAATTCTCTAAAGTGAGCAGCAAATGCAGCAGCACCACTAGCACCACAATCCGCAGAAGCAACAATTGCAGTAGTAGCAACAGCAGACTCACTGCAATAGTAGCAGCATCACCAGCAGAATCTCATCATCGAAGTATGGACACAAATTTGGATAATGTATGAACCATCCAGCCCATCAAAAGCCGAGGAACCACTCGCAAGTGTGGAAACAGCAAAGTGCCCATCGCGTCATCAGAGGCATGTTGACGTTGATGAGCCGCCGCCGAGCAGCGAACCCAAAGACAAGTGCGATATGAATGCGAATGCAATATGCAATGCATCGGTGCAAGGAGCAGCCTCTTGTGATTGCAGTGCCGAGCAGCAGCAGACATATGCAGTATCAATAAGAACAACAACAACAACAACGACAAACCCATCAGTGAAGCATGATTGGGTCTCAGCCATCGCCGTGTTGGCGGATATTCTGAAATTGGCACTGGGCGAGCGCGAAAACTGTTTTGCAGTTGGTGAGTTATCCTGGACCGAGGCCAGGCAGTTCTCGTCTCACGTGCATAAATTAATATAAATCAAATTCATGCGACTTTCACATCAGCCTGCTTTAATTTAATTGACCAGCGTGTGTCCAATAAAAATAATAGTGTGCAAATAATTAAAGCTCTTGTTCCATTTTCATTGATATGCATACTATTAATACGAAATTTATTTTCATTTGCTGGCTGTGTGGCAAATGCAAATTAATTCACTTAAATTTTGATAGTGCACATATTTATTGAGTGTGATATAAATATTGATGAGCAATCAACTGAATGAATCAATGGAAATATAAATGAAATTAATAAAATAAGTATGTAAATAATATGAAATCATAATAAAATCATTCAGATAGCCATATACATATACATATATACAAATATTTATAATTTAAAATGCTTATTTCGATAAGCACTAAAGTGAAATACTAAGATTCTTGAGACATCGAATCGCTCTCTTCTTCTTTTATTCACACATCACTATTTAGTCACACACCACACCCAGTTTAATGAAAGATATTTGGGAAGCATTTAGTCCATATTATAGCGAAATTCGAAGGGGAACAGTTTACCCAGCCTGTTTCGAAATTTTCTTGCAAAGGTTACAGTCCTGACATAATCCCGTTTGGAGCAGCATTTGAGTGGCTCGAAATGCTTATACGGTACGAACTGTGTTTCTGCCATATACCTTAAGGCGTGGCTGTGCATCATATTAAGGAATCTTACGAACATCTTAAAGCTGAGTTTTGCGAATCGACAGCAATCGGGGGCGTGATGGTGGGGAATGCCTGCACAGAAGCCCCATGCCCGATCGTAGTCTTTCACCTGCATGGCACGAATTACCAGGGCGTCATCGGCAAGCTCCGGTTCTTGAATCTTGGCGAATGTCGCCAGCCTAACCCAGTTGCCTTTCCATAACAGGGCGCGAATCATATGGCTTTCGCCCACCTTCTGGATTATCTCGTTCTCCGGTTTGTAGAGAATGGAGTGGTGCAGCCAAGGCGATAACATGGAGTAACGCACACTGGCCATGACCTGCTCCATATGTTGCTCCCGCTCCTCCCAGTTGTGCCCTAGCCAGTACACGGCTGCAAAGAACACTTCGTCCTCACTGTTCACGCATAGCGAGTCCATTTTGAGCATATAGGCCACCTCGCCCGCTTCCATGGCGAGGAACTCCTCAGATGCGACCAGCGGCAAGAACACCTTTTGTATTCGGTGCATAAATATGGCCATCAAATCGCTGCATTTCACACGACGACATATCTGGTATCCTCTGAATGCTTCCTGTTCCCAGACACCCCCTTCGCCCCCATTATGAATCGAAAGAGAGTTATAGAAGAGCTCCAACAGGTGATGCACATTCAGATACTTAGCCAAGTGGTACATCTCAACAAAGTCGTGGCCGAGTACCAGCGGTTTGATTCCGGCAACCATCCAATTGTACATGCGGGACAACAGCATCATCGATACCTTGTTAGTGGGAAATTCCAGGGACCAACTCTTGTATTCGCCAAAGCCCTTCAGATATTGGAAGAACACATACCGATCCACATGCAGATAAAGTTTGCCAACTTTCACTTGCAACGTGCTAAACCAGAAGTTGCGCAACGAAATCAGGTACACCTCTCTACCATCTACAATAAATGTGTCATAAAATATGTGTCATATATATGATAACATTGATTTTTAGTCTACCTAGCTCCCGACCCTCTACATTGGAAAAGTACTGGGCTACAGTGATATTCGATACCATTCGCTGTGCTTGAGCACAATCCCTGACCTCTACGCTCGTTAGGGTCTCCATCGCATCAACGGCTTTGGCGACCTCAAGCATCTCCAGCTGCACCGGCTCCAGCAGCCCGGCCTTGGCATGTTCTCGGGCGGCATGGGAGTAAAGACTTGACCAAACCATCACTGGAAGACGCGGAAAGAATTCGTGATGCTCGGCACAGTCCGCATATAGCTCATGCGGATCCGGAGCGATCTCAGAGGATTCCTCATCTGAGGAGGAGCAGGCTTCGCTAGTTTCCGGCAGCCAGAAACCAAATGATTCTGGTGTCCTATTCAAATGTGGTTCCTCGATCAGACTCCGTTTCCAATTAGCGATCAGCTTCAAGTATTTCTTATTAAGTTCTTCGTTCAATGATAATGAGCGAGTCCGCTGACTTATTTTGCCTTCGATGATTGCATTTCTCCTGGCTATTTCCATTGGAATTCTACGATGACCAGATCTCCTATAAAGCCTATAGCCGCTATAGGCATGTCTGCTCGGCACTTTAAATGTTGTTCTAGACTTGCTTGCCATCTCTTCAAGAAATCAAATTCTAGTGGTTTTTGGCTAACTGAATTTCCGATATGATTTTAGTCTCATTTATAAGATTACAAATCGACGCCAACTGAACTTTATATATATCGATTTTCTCATCTATGCTAGTAACGTAAGCCAATCGAGAGGAGATGAATTAAAGTGCGCTAAGAAATAGGAGAGAGTAGCTGAGTGAGGTCGTTTGTCTTAAATTGAGTCATGGAGATAGCCCCACTTGAAATTCCCCAATTAATTATTTGCCTGAAGCAAAGATAAATTTACAAATCATTCGGAGAGCACACAAATGCCACAGACACGGAAATTCCCAAGCTGGCTGAGATGTAAGGCTATACAAGTAAATATACAAATTAAATTTAGCTAATACGTAGACATGTGTGTGCACATGTATATGTAAATATGTGCAAGGCTTTGCTTTTGCTCATTAGGCACATGCGTTGCCTTACGGCAATCTAAGTAACGATTAGAAAGCCAAGCAAACGGATGACCCATTCATTAGTTATGCATCTTGTTCGTCCTTGTATCCTTATTCGCAGTAGCAAATGTGCATTTGGTATTCGTTGAATGCGGGGCAGGAATCCCAGAATTGCAAAATGCTAACTACCCAACAATGGGATGGAATGGAGCTAAATGCCACTTAGCTGCTGGTATGCCGGAGTAGCAGCACCTGCAGGACTTGCACTCCAGATTGTGTTTGTCTGTATGCCGCTGTGATAATAGCTGTCAACAGAGTGTCCTGCTACGCTGGCTGACAGTCCAGACAGTCGGATCAGGTAACGGGAATTGCTGTGCAGCTGGAAAACACCTCCCATGAGTCAGGCTTACGCTTAGATATGCGACAGTAGCTACATACTATTGACGGTGCGAAAACAATTTACTTCTGTTACCGAGAGGCTATAGAATTGGGTCTATTGAATTTATTAACGTATATGTAACAGAGATGTAGATGATATACTCGATCAGTAGAAATAGCTCTAGCCTTTAATTTGTCACTTCAATTGCTTAACTTCATTATTACTGTACAATCAACTAAATTCGATATATAATAGCTATAAAATTATATGCCACGAATGTCTGCTTCGCCATAATCGGTATCTCATAGTCAGCTACGCCCATCTGGGACACTCTTATTTCTTTTTTCGGTCACATCCCCATCTCTGTAAAAAAGCTTCGTCTGGCAGAGAAGATAAATAGCATTGACTGTTTTGTATCCATACCTGTCTCGTCGCTTTCCTGTTTGAAATATGATACAAAATACTTTAAAATGTGATTGTCTGTCAATTGCTCCGCCCCAGACTTTGTAGCAGAGACAAAACAACAAAAAATTGCTGTAAACCGATGATGATACATTATACACTCAATCTGAGCCTTAGCCTTAAGTATATGAAACAAAAAACGAAATTACATATATTTTCTTTTCTTTTATCAGATTTCATGAGGACTGCCTCGGTGTTTAAGGACTGGGATATGACTGAAAAATGGATGTATGACAAAATAAAAAATAAAAATAAAAAAAATAAATAAAAAAAATAATAAAAATAAAATATTCGTAAAAATAAAATTATATTTAGTATATGTCATAAATTAATTCTGATAGAAGTCAATCTAAGCAATTTAGCTGCTTCTCAATAATTCTCTACAGAGCTTCATAAAAACAATTCAAATTTTATATTTATATCATTTGTTTATTTACTTATTATTCTTTAAATATAAAAGTAAAATTTTACTAAATCACTTGAGCTTACATAAAAAAGGTTAAAATATTCCCAATGCAGCTTAAATTGATTTTCTGCATCTCACAGATGAACTGCTCAGCGCACATGAGTTATGATTGTGCGCAAATCTATTTGCCAAACGTAGCAATATTTTCGGAGCGTCATATATCATTTTTATGTGTCTACAGTAACGGTGAAATGTTTATTTAATTGCGAGC